GGCAACTTTGGGTGAAGTGCTCCGGGGTCCCTGCAAGCGGCTAGAAATTTGGTGGGAGTACAGGACCTCTGTCACAGAGTGATACTAAAAAATGTATTTTATTGAAATGTGCATAGGGATCTGCTTTTGTTTTTATTAAAAAATTACTCACCTTCCAAGTTCTTCAGTGATTTGTCTGGTGCCCATGTATGCTAATACGGTTATGGTTTTTTGATATAAAAATAAGATATTATTTATATATATATCAATTTCAGCTCCAAAGCCCACAAGAAGGATCAGCTTAAGTGTATTAATTAAATTAACATGAACTTGTAATTTTATCTCACAGAGAAAAAGTATTTTAAATAATGTATTCTGAATAATATTTAGATTTTTTTTGATACATTTACATATCTTTTACTATATATATATTTTTAATATTTTAATGTTAAAAAAACGAATAATTTGGAAGCTTATCCAAAAATATCAAGCTTATTAAAAAGAATCACTTGTCAGGTTGCACGCATTAAAGCCATACAGTTGATACTCTTACTAAACATTTCCTTATAAACTGGTGAAGATATTTTTAGGAACATCCATGTTTTGTAAACTATATTGTGAAAATCATCGAAATAAAAGCTCTATTGATGGATGCTACTCGATGACGTAGATCGGGATTTTGTTACAATTAACACGCTTACACTGCCTTACTTTAAACTTCGTATTGTTCAAATGTTTACAGGGCACGGGCACTCTTACATAATGCCACTAGCACTAAAACACGTTGTATCATCTTTCATTACACAACACTTACATGTGCTTTTAAATGTCTGTGATGTTGTTCTTGTTTCAGTGTCCCCATTTTAACACATGTAACACTGTATCTTATAGCATTCATGGTTCTCACTATATGGTTCTTAACCTTGTATGAACGCCTCTAAAACAAGCATGCTTGCCCTTTACATGTTTGGGGGGCTTTGGCATTGGAAACTTTCCTGCATTACAATCCTAATTTGGTCCAGGTTATTTATATTTCTTTTAATTATGTCCCATGACATCTGTTGAGAAAATCAACATCATTCACTTACATGTTCCTTTAGTAAGATATAGGTTTTTTTTTGTTTTTATTTTAAAGGAACGGGTATCGAGACAAAATATATATATTTTTTACAAGGCGAAATAGTACATTTATCATTTATCAATTAAGTCCTCTGTATCTTCCAGAAGAATAACTATGCCTGTGTAATATAGCACAAGGCTTACAACACAGTTTCCCATGAAGTGGTTTCCCTATTCTGCCTACATGAGATACCCCAACATATCACTCTCCCAATATAATCTCAGATCCCCAGCATGGTGGCCATTACTCAGGTGCCTTCCTGTCCCTCAGATAAAATTCTTCCATACAAATTCAAATGAATTTTGATCATATGACCCAACTAGGTCAATCCTCTTCGACAATAAACATTCTTCCCTTCAACATCACCTTCCTTTCTCTGCCTCGTCCGCTGGACCAAGGGTCCCTCCTGACTTCTTGTCATCTTTGTCTATATTTTATACTTTATTAATTGAATATGCTTTGTCTTGTCCACATTCAATGCATAGTGATTAGAAATTGCTTCTAGGTTTTACCTTCATCAGACTCACTGTGTATGGTGTTCAGATTACTAAGCAGTGCTCCTTACATTGGCACAATCATGGATACATTCTGTTACTTCGCAACAGTATCGTCTCACCACAAACTTTTCACTTAATTTACAATTCCCCTCTAGATTGTAAGCTCATGGGCAGAGTTCTTACCTTCTTTTGTCCCAGTGTGTCTAATTATATATCCTCTGATAAGAGTGTTATATTAAAACTGCTAATTAAATACCACTTTGCCACCTCTTGTCCTCCCCTGACTACATCATTTTACAACTACAGACACTCAAATGTCCCAGCCTGAAGTTATAGCACATGGCAATGCACTTTCATAATGCTGTTTCAGTTACTGTGTTCATGTTGACAGCTTTTAAAATGTTATACAGGCTGCAACGATACTTACATACCTACTATGTTCTTGTGATACTGATACTGAAGCCCATGGATCAGCGCAGTCAGGGGAATGGGCCTTGACAGAGCCAAGGAGTAGGCAGGTGGAGTCAAAGATTTAGGGGTGGGTAATTAGTAATGGGTTGTAATAAGGGGTGGAGAAAGAGGGAGTATATTAAGCAGCCATTTTAGCAAGTGGCCATTTTAATCAGAATCTGCACTTACCTGTTAATTGTCTTGGCAGGTCTGTGTGGTTTCTTTTTCTTTTCTTTTGCAGATGGCTTCGCTGGACGTGATCCTGGACGGGGTGAGAGCAGCTGTGCGAGACAAGGGGATGGCATGGCTTCAACGGCAGCTGGGGGATCCTGGGACCAGTAATAATCCCCCTGCGGCAGCGGAGCGGCGTCCGGTGAGGAGGGCGAGACCGCCCCAGCGGCTGAGTCCGGGTGTGATGCCCGCGACACGTCGGCGACAGAGCCCGTCGGCGGAAGCGGGCGTGGCCCTGGCTGTGGATGCCGGCAGGGAGGAGGCAGAGAAAACGCCGCCGGCACCGTCTGTTCGACGCGGTGCCAGTCGGGCTAGGACGGCAGTCAGGCCGGTGGCCGCTTTGCGGCCTAACACGCGGAGCGCCGCTCGCCGGATGGCGAGCGGCAGGGTGGCGAAATTGGCGGCGGCCTCCAGGATGGCAGGGATAGCAGATGCCTGTGGAGTAGAGGAAGGAGCCCAGGGGCGTCCCGGTGAGTCTGCCGCCGGTGTAACAACCGGACGGCAAGGGGGCAGGCAAGAGGATACGGATGGCGGGCAGACAGCTCCCCTGGGGGCAGGGGGGGCCCCTAGCAGTAAGGGCTCAGTGGGAACGGCCGGGGTGGGGGCCAGGCAGGACGGCAGGGGGTCAGCCGACCGGGTCACCTGCTGGGACGGCAGAAGCAGGCCAGGGCGGCAGCGGAGGGGGACTCTGGCTGCCAGGGACAGCGCAGGGACTCCCCTTCAGACAGGGTGGCGTCACAGGGGGACCTGTTACAAGGGTCGGATGTGGATTCGGAGGACGGGGTCAGGGGTGTACGGGAGGACCACACGTGCACCTCCCAAGGGCGGCAAGGCGTCACAAACGACCCCAGGCCGGTAGCCAGCAGGGAACGGCGCGGGGATAGCGCCAGGCAGGAAGGGACATGGAGCGCTAGGGAGAGGAGCCCGTCGGCTGATAGGTGCAGTAGGTGGAGGTCAGCCTGTAGGGACAGGAGGAGGAAGGAACGGCGCAGCGCTTCTGGGTCCTCAGACGAGAGCTCCCAAGGACAGCGGTATGGCAATTACGGCCATGAGGGCCAGGCTACTAAGCGGGGCAGGCATAGGAACGATGGAAGGGAGCATAGGGAGGAAGGGCGGGTAGGTGGACGCACGAACAGACTACCCAGGTGTTCTTCTCCTTACAGGTCGCGGAGCGTTACACCAGCGGTCCCGAGGCGGGATCAGGCGGTAAGCAGTCGGCGTCTCTTGGACACTCCGGAGCTGTGTGCGGCGGATGGAAGGAAAACTACCCCGCGGCCCTCCGCGGACGGGGGCTCTGGCGGTGAGTCATCTGGTACACCACACTCAGAATCACTGTTAAGCTGCTTAAAGTCATTGTTAGATTCTTGGGTCAGTAGGGAGGTGGCTCCACCACAATTTTCGAGGGTGTGGGGTCCGGTGGCGGGTAATGTCTCCGCGGGACAGGCAATTGGGGCGGTGAGTGGTGACCCCGGGTTAGCCGCGTCTGGGTCAGTAGGGGGGCCGGGCGAAAAGACGGACTTATGCGGCGAGATTACCGACGCGGCGCGGCAAAATGTGCACGTTTCTTTCGCGGGCCCCTTAGGCTGTCATTTAAAGGCTGAGATGAAGGACAAGATTTGGAAAGGTGAGTTTGTGGAAGTTTTTTCCCTTCTCCCTCTGGAGGAGTTTCTTGACCTGGAAGAGGAGTTGGTTCGGAGAGCCGGGCGGGGAGCGTTGATGGCAAAGGTTGACATGGAAGCAGCTTTTAGGTTACTTCCTATTCACCCAGAATGTCACCATTTATTGGGGTGTTTTTTCGACGAGGCCTTTTTCGTAGACCTATGTTTGCCCATGGGCTGTTCTATTTCTTGTTCGTACTTTGAAAAGTTCAGCTCCTTTTTCGAGTGGGTGGTGCGACATGAGTCAGCTGGGGGTGCAGTGGTGCACTACTTGGATGACTTTTTGTGCGTGGGGCCAGCGGGCTCCGACCGATGTGGGCAAATCCTGCGGGTTTTGCAGTGGGTGGCGCACACCTTTGGGATCCCGTTGGCCGCAGACAAGACAGTAGGCCCGACGGAGTGCTTGAACTTTCTGGGACTGGAAATCGACTCGGTAAAAGGGGAATTTTGGTTACCGGTGGATAAACTGTTGGCTCTCCGCCAGCGGGTAGGAGAAGTGCGGGGTTCAAGGAAAGTGACCTTAAGGGGCCTGCAGTCCCTATTAGGGAGCCTGAACTTCGCATGTAAAGTGATCCCTATGGGGAGGGTTTTTTGCAGGCAGTTGGCCCGAGCTACTTGTGGAGTGCGGTCTCCGGGTCACTACATTAGGGTCTCAGCTGATATGAGGGCAGACTTGGACGTTTGGATACGCTTTTTACGGGAGTTTAACGGCCGTGTTTATTTTAGGGATTCAGCGGCGACGTCGGGAGACATAGGTTTATTTACCGACGCCGCAGGGAGCGTGGGTTTTGGGGCGTACCTGGGAGGTAAATGGTGCGCGGAGGAGTGGCCTAGGTCTTGGAAGGAAAGCTCATTGATCAGGAATCTGGCCTTCCTGGAGTTCTTTCCGGTGGTGGTGGCAGTGGCCCTGTGGGGCGAGGAACTCACGAACAGGAAGGTGATTTTCCACTCCGATAATATGGCAGTGGTGCACGCGATCAATGGTATGTCGGCTTCGTCGCTCCCCGTGGTACGGTTATTGAGACACTTAGGTCTTCTTTGTATGTCGTGGAATATTGTTTTCAGGGCTAGGCATGTTCCGGGCTTGTTGAATGTTGTTGCTGACGCACTGTCTCGTTCACAGTGGGAACGTTTTCGGGAGGCGGCTCCGGGAGCACAGGATACGGGTCAGGCATGCCCGGAAGAAATATGGCAGCTCGGGACATCATGCTTGGGGATTTTGTAAGGAGTTCCCTAGCGCCAGGCACCTGGGCGGCATACACTAAGGTTTGGACTGAATGGGAGGAGATGGTTGGGCAGACGGGAGGGGAGTCCTCCGCAGCAGGTAGGTTTGATACACTGTTATGGTTGTTGTGTCGGTTACTGGCCTCCCGAGTAGACCGTTATATGTCAGCTTTGGCGTTTTGGTTTAAGTTTAATAGATGGGAGGATCTTACCAAGAATTTTTTAGTGAAACAAGCTTTGCGTGGCTTCCGTAAAGGGAAGAGGGCCGTGGACACGAGAAGGCCGGTGTCGTTTGCCATCTTGCGAGGGCTGGTGGGGGGGCTGCGCGATGTGTGCACTTCAACGTTTGAAGTGGTTTTGTTTTCAGTAGCTTTTGTCTGGGCCTTCTTCGGGGCGTTCCGCATTGGTGAGCTAGTCAGCTCTAACAAGTCCGGAGTTAACGGGCTCAGGTTCGAGGACGTAGTCATTGGCCAGGACAAAATCGAGATTCAACTGCGACGCTCCAAGACGGATGTTTTCGGGAAAGGTAGGAAAGTAGTACTGTTTTCATTGCCTGGGTCCGAGGTCTGCCCGGTGGCGTGCGGGCACGAGTTCTTATGCATTCGCCCAGGTGAGTCGGGGTGCTTTTTCGTCCATGAGGACGGTTGGGCGCTGTCACGTTTTCAATTTGCCCGGGTATTTCGCATGGGGCTTCAGCAGTTGGGCTTACATCCTATGCAATTTGGCACACATTCGTTTCGCATTGGAGCGGCAACGGAAGCTGCGCGACTGGGACTGGGGGACGAACGGATTAAACAGATAGGTAGGTGGGAGTCCATGCGGTTTCGTTCGTACGTGCGACCAGATTGGTTGGTATAACGTGGCCGTGGTACGGTTGGGGGGTTTTCTGTACATGCTCTGCAAGTTAATTGATTTTGTTTCTTCACAGGTTTGGTTACCTGGTTGGTGGGTCACTCTTATGTTTATTGGGCGCAGAAGAGGGCCGCAGTTCGGAGGAATGAAACGCAGCTGGGTTTTCTTCTGGAAACGGTGGAGTTACAGTGGTTTGGATTTCGTGGTTTCAGTTGGCAGAGCATTAGTGGAGAGATTTTTAGGAGGGTGTCAGGGGGGGCTTCCCCTGACATAATACTTATTCATGGTGGGGGTAATGATTTGGGATTGATTCCTCAGAGGGAACTAATTAGGAGAATGCAGCGGGATCTGGATCGGCTGCGGGAGCTGGTGCCTGGCGTGGTGGTAGTATGGTCCGAGATGGTGCCGAGGTTTAATTGGAGACACGCCAGGGACTCAGCTGCCGTGGCGCGATGTCGTGGGAAGGTGAATAAAGCTATGTCAGTTTTCGTCCGGAGATCGGGCGGGGTCGCTGTGCGACATTGGGAATTAGAGGGTATGTTGCCTGGGTACTTTCGCAAGGATGGGGTGCACCTTTCCGAAGTGGGGTGCGATTTGCTAAATTTAGGTTTTCAAGAGGGCATAGCAAGGGCCCTATTCTTGTGTGGTGGGGGGCGCTCGAGACGTTAAGGTATCAAGTCTCGGGCTGTGGCGGGATAGGGCTAGGGTAATTGGGATGGAAGACGAGTATTAAGTGGCTAGGCTAAGGTTAGGCTGGATTAGGCCAGAGTGGTAAGTGGTCTGTTGGTTCGAGCTCATCGGTGGCTCCGAACCTGGTGGTGTAGGGGTGTCTCGGTACACCCCTACAGTTAAGAAAGTTATGGTTATGGGGCCTCTTTGGTAGGGCGTGTGTTATATATTATGTGTTATTTATATTGTTATATATTGTTTATGGTATGGGGTCATTGCCAGGGGTAATGCTGTACGGAAGGGGGCGGTGGTAAATTATTATTATACGGCAATGACCCCAATTTGTTATCTTGTTTATGATTACAATAAAATAAAGCTGTGGACTTTTATATTTCCAACAGAAATTCGGTGTCTGTGTTTTTTGGGTGGGTTTTAAGGGAAAATGCCACAAGCCGAATAACGACTGTGCGCATGTCATGAACCCATCTGTCTGTAAGGCAAATGTCTCATATGAAATAAAACAACTATCATTCTACTACATTTTAGAACATGAAACATGGGTACATTTCACATACTGTGTCACTTTCAATCATGCTCTGGATATCCTGGACATCAAGCTAAAAGATACTTTGTATCAATAAACTAAGACAGAATGAGTTCTATTGATACTGTCAACGTCTGTATACCCTAACACACAAACTGTAACATGTTTTGTATTCATCGGGAGTCACTGATTGGTTGAGAGTGTCCCTGCCCAGCGGCATTCCGCACTTCCTGAATTTGAAAATCCAGAAGCCAAATGCTGCTTGTGGGTATGTGGGCAATTTTAGGGTTAAACCACTCGAGAACGGTTTTGCCTCTTAAGGTAGAAGTGCCTACATGGGCCTCCTGGCACCATAACTTTTTAGATAAAGACAGCCACTAGAGGGACTTTTGTGTTCTTAGAACACAAAAGTGTGTTATACAAAGCTGGACGTCGTCATGCTATGCATGAGGACCTCCAGCGTCGCCGGAATCCACGCAGGAATGCATTGGATAATGCTTTACCATAAGGGAGGTCTAATGCACGCGCATTAGACCTCCATTGCCGCGCATGCTCATTAGGTCTCCCCCCCACCGGCTGACGACGGGGGAGAAGCATAGGCGGAGCTCGGCGCTGGATTCAGGTAAGTCATGGTATGGGATTTAACCCCTTCAGCAACATGGGATGGGGGTGGGAGGGAGAGGGGCACTGGAGAGTCCCTTTTAAGCAAGTCCCGGGCAACCAAATCCAGAGGGCTAGGTGATAATCAGGGTCAAAATGTTCAATAGTCAGAAAACTAGACAGCAAGGCTCCTTGAATGAGAACCAGAAAACTACAGGAAAGTGAAAAACCCAAACAATAATGGCAGTAACATTATAAATATAAAAGATAAACGATTATAGGGGGAAAATGATATATATTTAATTTTGACAACCTAGGTAAAAGAAATACATAAATAGTAACTTCAAAGAAAAGGAAATAACTCAGAATCTACATTTAATCCCCAGCTATTAAAATACTCAATTTGTAAATCCAGTGCCTGTCTTACTGTCCTAATCTCTTGTTACATCCTCCCCTCTCCAGTGTTTATTCAACTTTTTTAAATGCCTACGAGTTTCAAGCATTTTTGATCGCTGGAATGAAATTGTTGGAAATGTACCGAGACACTAAGATGGGAAAAACTGTTTATTAATGCTCCTTATATGTTCCTCGATTTGGATGTGGAGTGGTCTAGTGGTTCGGCCTGCATAGACTTTATTACAAGAAAAAGTGATTGCACTTATCAGATTTGCAGAATAGCATGCAATTAGTTGTTTAATATTATACTTCCTGCCTTTGCCGTCACATTCTATAATCCTACCCTTTTCAGAACCTGATTTTTTGCATGCCAGACAGCCTCCACACTGATTTAATCCTATGTCTGTGTTTAAAAAGTGTCAACTACTATGATTATTTTTATGATTATTATTACTTAAAATGTGTTTTACACTTTTACCACCCCTAAAAAGAAATGTAGGGTGCATTAGGGGCTAAAGTGATGCAAAGATTTATCACATTAGAACATGCCAGTGCTTTGTAATCACTGATTTTATTGAATTACTATTATCGGCAAATAGTGTTTGACTGTTTTGAGTAGGTGCAGTTTTTGGGAAGCATTTTGACGGCTCATGTTTTTTCCTTATAAAGAGTGCTTTTTTTCACTTAGTTTTTGAGATATTTAAAATTTCTTCACTTTTTAATTGTGATTAGTGGCTGCCTACTTCATTAAAGGGATGCTATAGTCACCAGAACATCTACAGCTTATTGTATTTGTTCATATGAGTAGAATAATTTCCTTTAGGCTTTTTGCAGTGTTTACATTACAGCCTAGTGATAACTACACTGACCACTCCTCAGATGGCGACTAGAGGTGCTTCCTGGGGCAGTGCTGCACAGTGTGATTGACATTCAGTGTTCCCACCCTCTGCATGGAGACACTGAACTCTCCTCATAGAGATGTATTGATTCAATACATCTCTATAAGGATATGCTGATTGGCCAGGGCTGTGTTTGACTTGTGATGGCCCTGCCCCTGACCTGCCTCCTTGACAGTCTCAGCCAATTCTATGGGCAAGCATTGTTATTGGCTCAGATAATCACTTCTGATAATGTCAGTCAAGCAGGCAGATGAGGGTCAGAGGCAGCAATTGCAGACTGGAATACAAGTAAGATTTTACTATAATTAGGAAAACAAGGTGGGCTCAGGAGAGCTAGATAGTGGTTTTAACACTATAGGGTAAGAAATACATGTGTGTGTTTCTGACCCTATAGTGTTCCTTTAATATGCCACTATCTGACATCATGCCTCCCAACTGTCTAGAAATTGAGATAATGTAGAACAGTATAATCGCTCTACAGCCCCCTTTCTTAGGCCAAAGAACGACAGGAAAAGATTCACTAAAAACCAAGTTATGTCCCTTAAATGAAGATAAAGCATAGAAGAAGGAGGGTTAGAGGAGGAAAATGATGTGAGATACAAATTCAAAGAAATATCAGAAAGGAGGGATTTTTAATTTAACCTCTACTTAACTACATCGGCACATATTGATTTTATAAACAAGAGATTGAATTACTATCCTATGAGTAAAATTGACCATTTTCCTTGTTTGTAGAGCTTAACAAATTTGTTAGACTATGGTGTTTAAAAAAAAAAAAAAAAGTGCAGAAAGACCAGAGAGGGATCTTTAGATTGAAGATGCGTTTAAAAATACACAATTGAGAAAAAAATAAATATATATATCTTTTTTCCCAATCAAATGATAAATTACTCTAAGCAAACTTTTCTGAAGTTGTTAGATAAGGATGTTGAAAATATAAATCAACCTCACAAACACACGCAAAATTTATCCAAATTAAGAAGGTTGGCATTAAGAGATTTTGGATCCAGGGAATCAGTGGTTATAAAAGCAGTCAACAATGGTGGAGGTAATGGTCATAATGAGCAGCCAGTATTATCCTAATGAAGCCCAAATATTATTAAGGGATGTAAACACATACAAGAAGCTGAATTGAGATCCTATTTCACAAATTAAAGAAAAAAATATTGCTTTTTTTAGACAATGATCATTAAAGGGTATTTGAAATATTTTATAATTTAATACAATTATCTAAAATAGCATTTCCTGGAACACTTTTGTTTTATTTTTTACCTAAACTACATAAATATCGCAAATAGATATACATATATACTGTGTGAGACGAGTAGAAGAGGGTAGTGGATGCATGAAATAGCCTTCCAGCTGAAGTGGTAGAGGTTAACACAGTAAAGGAGTTTCAGCATGCGTGGGATAGGCATAAGGCTATCCTAACTATAAGATAAGACTAGGTACTAATGAAAGTATTTAGAAAATTGGGCAGACTAGATGGGCCGAATGGTTCTTCTCTGCCGTCACATTCTTTGTTTCTATTTAAGTATAAAAAGTCATTGCCCGAAAACAACACGAACAGTGAGCCAAATGCTGAGGCAAATAAAAGGAAGATGCCGGGCCAGTCGCATCGGAAGTGATGCCGTATGACCACGAAAGTGGGTAGAATGATATGAAAATCAACCAATTAACTTGGCTATATATGTGTAGTGGAGGGCAATGTAAATTCAGCACACCTGAAGAAGACAAAAGGTCAAAACGCGTTGTGCTGTATTAATGTCCTTCAACTGTTTTGTCCATGCTATTTTGCTGGTTGGAGAAGCCTTATTTTTACTTACATGTTTTAGCTGCTATTTTTTATTTGAATAAATATCTGAATCCTGTTTTAACTTTGATGTATTTTACTCTTTTGGAGGACCTGCGAAATCCTGGTTCCGGTTTGTTGGGAATCCTTAGACCCATGTTGTTTTAACTCAAACTGGTATATAAGGGCTCAAGAAATGTTAGTGTGCATTTGAGAAATACGTTTATATTGATTAATCTATACAGAGGTACTGCACAATATATTAAATTTTTTTCCTATTTCTAGCCTCTTCACCATCAGGAGGGTACACTTGCATTCTCTGTATTACATTGCTTTTACCTTGGTTTTACCGTACATAAATACCGCACTTGTCCGCCAGGAAGGACTATTATTTCAGCCATAAGGTCTGTGACTTTGAATTTATCTGAATTCATTAATTTTGTTTTTGAAGCCTTTGGTCCAGGGATGTAAATAATATTGGAAACGTTCCTTACAAGTCATGCAATTTTTTAAGTAAATAAAATGATGTGAAGGTTATTTATCTTTAACCCCTTAACGCCACATGGCTTTCTATGTCGTCCTGTAAAATGTGGTTTTAACACACAGG